GATTATACAAATAGCGGCACCTGTGTCAACAAGAGCAGTTGTGGCGAAACCATCCACAAATATGGCAATCTCGTCAGAAGGCGAAAGGTGAGGCCTTGGAAATTTCGTCGGTGGCGCAGCTCTTGCCTCAGGAACTGCGACTGTTACTTTTCCTCCTTGGCGTGGTTGGAACGGCGAAGCATGGGGGAAGGAGACCGAAGACGGGGTGAAAGAGATCGACGTCGGCTGAAGTCTGGTTGACGTGAGCGGGGGTCATGTGAATCAGGTGTCCCATGCGATTCTGATTGCCGAGGTATGTTGCCGGAATGCTGAACATCATTAAAATAGAATCCACGGCGACGACAGTAGCGCGCGACATGTCCTGGAATACCACAGTTGTAGCAGACGGGCTGGTTATCCGGAGTACGCTAAGAGTTTGCAGGTGCTCGAGGTGGTGAAAACGGCCGATTTACCGGATAAACCGAAACTGGTGACTTGTAGTAGTTGGTGGCTGGACTGTATGAAGGGAGCGGCGGTTGGGCAGGAGTCGGCGGACGGCTTCTGCATAAGTCAGCGGTGCAGCCACTGATATTCGGGACGCGAGCGAAGGGAGAGCCTTGGCAACTTGCATCTGAATAGCACGGCGAAGTGAGTGGTCCAGTGTTGTGGGGGTCTCGTTGATGGTGGCGACAAGAAAGAGCTGTCGAGCAACTTCCTCCCGGATGTACTGTTGAATTTGAGGCATTAACACGCTGTAGTCGGGGCCACTGCTTTTGCACTCCAAAGCCGAAATATCAGCTGTTTGCGTATTAGCGCGACGTGTAGAAATTCGTTGCTTGCGCAGCTCATCGAAACTTTGACATAGGTGAATCACGGCCGTGAAGGTCTGTGGGCCTTTCACCACAAGCATATGAAAAGCGTCGTCATCGATGCCTTTCAATATATTCTTTATTCTGTCAGCCTTCGTCATCCTCGCATCAACTCGCCTGCAGAGGCTGATCACATCCTCAACGTAGCTCGTGAAGCTCTCACCATTTCGCTGAAATCGTCCTCGCAGGCCCAGTTCAGCACGAAGCTTACGCATGGCTGGACGACCGAAAAACGAGGTGACGGCCTCTTTTAAAACCGACCAGGTGGGGATGTCGGCTTGGTGGTTGGTGAACCATAGGTTGGCTAAATCCGTCAAGTAGAAGATGACGTGAGTCAGCTTAGCAGGGTCATCCCACTTGTTAATCGCGCTGGCATGCTCGTACTCTGCCAGCCAGTCCTCGACATCTTGATCTTCAGTGCCGTTGTATACTGGTGGGTCACACAGACGAAGTACACCAGGGCACATGACAGGCGGCAGCGTGGAAGAGGCTTGTGGGGGATCGACGCACTCGGTACATCTCGGGCTGAGATTGTAGCTTACGACTGCTGAGCTCCAGGACGTTACCCAGCACCTCCACCAAATGCAACGAGCAAGGTTGCGTAAAAACACAGGTTATTATTCCAGAAACGTTAGCCGCAACAAGCTGGTACAGGCGGGAACCCGGCGAGCACGAGCCACACACGGACGTCAACGTCTTCTTTCACGCTGGCACAGAGCTGGCGCCACTATGCTTCGGTACAATATATATATATTTCAATGTTCTGTTACAATTTTGCTTAGTTTATAATTTTGATTATTGCTTATGTTGCATCTAACAGTGTTTTACCTCAATTTGCCCTGAACAGGAGGTCCCCACACAGTCTTTGACTTTGGGACCTCCTTCTGTATACTAAACACATGTCACATTCTTGTATTCGTACCAATAAAAAAAAACTGTTCGGTGTTGTTCTAGATGACAATCTCGAGTTCTACTATCACACACAATCACTTATTTAAAAAATCTCATTCGGCATTCACATCATTATAAACACTCGCTATTTTTTTCATCTGGACATTCTCATAACTTTATACTATGCGCACATACACAGTCGCCTCTCATACTGCCTTTCATACTGGGGTAATACATATTGCACACATCTTCATCATCTAGAAATTTTGCAAAAGCAGGCATTACAATTGGTTACATTTCAATATCATACCATCTGCTCCCATATTCCGTTGTGTAAATGTTCTACCTTTGCACATGTTATTCCATCAAAAGGTGTTACTACTAATATTTGGTCTTATGAATACCGATCTCAATATTCCAAGTTTTACTCGCTCCAGCTTCATAAATATTAATAATGCAAAAATTTCAAAGCGACTTAATTCACTCCTTTCTAAAATTAGAACAAATTAAGGGCAATATACTGTTGCTTTTTTAGGCATTCCAATTTGAAACTCATTGCCATCGGATATAAAGTCGTCTTTATTACTCTCATTCAAACGTAAAACTAAGGAGCATTTCATTAACACTTTGTTAGACACAAAGAATTCACTAGGTTTTGTCCACCCTACTATTGGCAATGTGCTGTTGCCACTTCCAAGTGTTTCACTTTTGCCCATTTTGATACTTATTCGCATGTGTAGCTGTTCGTGCCACTGTTCCTTGTTTGAATTATTTTTGTGATTTCTTCTATCTGACCTTGCTAAAAATTTTATCATTTACGTTTATGATTGTCTTCATTGGCTTTTTTTAATTTTTTATTATTTATGAACATTTTACCCTTTCTTACTAAGGCTATAGAAATTATATAAAATAAATGACTCACTGTTCGCCTAGTTTTTTGCAAACTCCCATTTATGTTTTATTAGGAGGTCCCCCCAACAGCTTTCACTCCAAAACTCCTGAAGTTGCACTTCTCATCTATCTTGTAATCTTGACAAATGTCGTCAAATAAATTTCAAATTTCAAAATAAATGAGCAGGGGGAGAGAGACAAGAAAAGGCGACTGCTGATTTCCTTTGGGTGGGTCTGTCCAAGGGTGCTGTCTACGTGAAGCTGAGGCCAAAGGGGTGTGTTGCCTCTGCCGGAGGGCCTTAAAGGTCCAATCACCCAGCGTCAACTCAACCCCCAGGATAATCTTTTCCCCGGACGCAGCAAAGCCACGCACGGCTAGGCATGGAAGGGAGCCAAGATGCCCCTCGTTAGCTTGGGTCCATGGTGTCGTTACACACCAAACGCGTGCTTGCACAGACGTGGATTAAAGGCAATAATGTCGCACAGTCCCGAATTGCTTTGGCGTTTCAGTCATTTGTACATGACTGCGATGGAGTGGACTTTGGGGCTTTGTTTTCAGTAGAGAGTTTTAGTGCTGGGTAACCAAGCAGTTTGTGTACCCAAGATGTTGGGGCGGCGGTATTGCACATGTGCAAAACCCCGAACAGATGTGTCGTGAGATCGCTGAGGCCATGCGTTTGCGCGGCCATAAACAACGCTGCCACCACTGGCCTCCTAGCGGAAATAAGCTGCCCTGGCACACACGCTGGCGAAATATGCTACCCGTGACGTCACCCACCTTCACGTCGAGCAAAGCCTAGGCTGGCCAGCGCCACCACTTCGACTTTTAAGTTTTAAGCACAAATATTATAGTGGCTAGCCACTATACAAATATCATGGCACAAAGGCGCCGAATCTCGGACAGCACGGATCAGCCGCCTTCTAAGGTCCACCTTTGCAGGAACTCACGGTATTGGCATTACGGATACTTTAGCCGTCGAGGAAATATAAGCCAAAGTGCGAGCTCCGATAGCGATTACTTTGTTTCAGCCAGAATACCAAAGCTAGAATGGTTTGCAACATAAAAACCAAAAATATGCCAGCCCCTGACCTGCTGAATAGGCGGCACCATCTAGCGTTCCCATAGTGAACTAGTCCAACCTAACATTGTTATTTTTAATCATTTTCACCTCAAAAACTTCACGCGCAAGCCAACATGTTCATGACTGTGGTTGCACGAAGTGTCACAAGATGTCGACACCACTGTTACAGTAACCTTGTATTTTTCACTTTTTTTGCATATACTAGGATACTATACACGATAAAAAAGTCTCGTGATTTTGCTGCAACCGTGATTCAATCCTATGTAAGTTAAATGCAGTTAGCATCCCCATTTATGGCTTGCAAAAATGTAAAGGAATACACGTATACGTATGAGAAGCTGAAAACATTGGAAGACGCGCGTTCCGATAAGGCGATAAACGCAAACTGGTATCCGGTAACACGTTAACAGTAAATAAGTATCCATACAAGCTAAAACTTACACACCGAGAGTTACACGTCGCTATGTATGTTTAATGTAGCATTTCAAATCATAAAAATAATGAAACAATATTTATGCGACAAAAGGCTATGGTGCTGTGAGCGTGTGTGACCTTCGTGCGGCTCGCGTTTGCGTGCCACGTGTGCACGCCTCTATAAGGCATTCCAGTTGGGTATAGGTTGGGTATAGGCTGGGTATGCAACGCCGCGCACATCCGAGCCCGCAGCGCCCCAAGAGCTTGGGTACCCAGCCCTAAATCTTTCTAGTAAGTATAAAGTGAAGCTTTGACATGGGCTATCATGACAGCCAGCTGCACCATCACTGATCGGCCCGCTCACACAAGTTCCCGAAAGAGTAGAGTTCTTGTAACCAAAATAAATGTTTAGTGCATATATCATTGTACGATACCAAAGTTTTGCTAGTTTTTGGGCAATTTGAATTTTCAGGTGAGGGAAATATTTGTGCTCTCCCTTAAGATTCACACTGTCGAGTTTTGACTGTACAAGTAAAACCCCTTTTGTAATGAACACTTTCGGGAATCGATCATATTTAATACAGACATACCATAGCTGACTTGTGCATTTATAATACTTGTAACGCGTATGACAAATACAGCATGCATGTTTGCTAGATTCCAATCGTGAAAAGAGGCCCTTCACGGCTAAGCTTAGTATGACATGCCTACATGTGCACAAACAGCTCTGTGCGAAAAGTGGATGATTGATTGATTGATATGTGGGGTTTAACGTCCCAAAACCACTATATGATTATGAGAAACGCCGTAGTGGAGGGCTCGAAAAGTGGATGATGCTGACTATGAAAGGCCGAGGGGATGGTCAAGGACTTACGCCCGGTCCTGGACATGTGCCTTCTCACGAATAAAGCTGCCACCTTGTGTCACCTGGGGGGCCCCAATCGGCTGTTGCTGCTGTATCATTCCTTGCTGCATCCCTGGCTGCTGTGGGACTGCAATGCTGTGGGACAAAAGCGTCACGTCTGAGTATCTGAAATCTGCAAGCACTTCATTGAGGATGTCCAAAAAAACATGCACCATTGCTCATTTACATGTGACAAATACAGTAAACTGAAATGAACACAGAGCGAAATTCAAGTACAAAATCAGTCATTTTAAATGAAGTTCTCGCATACTGTCAATCAAAGCAGCACAGTGTTCAAGTAGTTGAAGCCAAGTACTACAGCTGTGTTTGTATGGTTCACTGGAGCAGCAACACATTTATTTCCATTTACTCAGCGTATTCTACTTATTGATGGCCTCAAGGCCAAAGGTAACACAAAAGCTGGTGGCCATAAACAATGAAGTACAGAAAACAGAAATAAATTCAAAATAAATGTTCAATTGTTATGGAAGTACGTACACCTAATGAATACCTGCCAACCTGGCAGCAAAGAAATTCGTAACACCTCCGAGCGGGGAAGGGAACAGGGGGTTATCATCTTATTTTTTTTTATTTGTAGCTGTGATGGATTTGCCTTTACGACAAGCATGGATTTGCCTTTAGCGACAAAATTTGCCATAGGTCAAATCAATGTGCTGAACTATTTCCCCCATTTTTCACAACAAAAGAAAAAAACAATGCGAGAAACAAGAAGGGGGGGGGGGGGGGACGAAGTCCCAAATGCAAGCGCAAACATCAGCATTGCGGTTTCATAATGGCTTGGAGTGGCCGAACACATGAGGGTAGGGTTTCCCAATAAGATGAGAGTCTCAAATGGGGAGCGCAAATACTCCTGGAATCTCACATCACCAAAACAACTAGCAAAAAAATCGATTTCCTTCGCAACAACTCCCGTATGTCTTCATACTGGCTGTCGTGAAAGCGCGAGTCAAAGCTTTGGCTTTTCTCGCTACTACATTCTTTGGACAGGAACCAAACAACGCTTTGACCCTTTTTACGTCTTTACCGCCTTTAATCTACTGCTGCGTCAGCCATGTGCCTCAGAGCTCGTACATTGCTATTGCATTGCCATGACCGTGGTTTTGTGCGCGGAAGTTGCAACGGTAGTTTTGTTTTCAATCTACATGCATTCAGAACTAAGTCGTTTTGAGCTATGATTGCAACTGCCACAGTTTTGTTCACAGAGTTTGTGGAAAGCAGCATTGCCTTGACTGGTTGAGCGTTGGTCGCGCGCACACTTTCGGAGTTCTGTCATTAACGTCACCATACATGATCGTGTAGAATGACCGCGATTTCGTCCACGGCGGTACTGGCAACAACAACCACACGCACTACAGAAGACAGTGCATGCACGCGTTATTTCGAAGCTTCGAGCACGCTGCTCTAGATCAGCCTTCGTTCGAAGGTTTTGGGACTTTTACGCATAAGCATAAATTTGGCCAATCATTTTTTTCGTTATTTTCACTTTTATAAAAACGGAGCGACGGAAAGAATGAAGAAGAAACGAGCCCACAGGTTTTCTTTTTTGTTTAAATAATAACATGTCCGTACCAACTCGCTTAACTGTCTGCCCCACTTCAGCTCCCTTTTTGTCAAGGTCTGCTGGCCCAGTGATTAGGCGTGCAGACCATGCAGGGTGACGGCATGCAGTGAATATGAATGAAGCTCGTTTTCATGTGCATTACAAGAGCAAGTTTTATATTATTACCTAAAGCAGTGATCACACAGAGCAGTTATGATACATGCATGCATGCTAAACAGTTAGGACAACAAAATTTCATTTCACCTTATAGTATAATACACATTAACCTTGCCTTCACTCAGCCCAACACCAATATCTTTTTTTGAATGAAAACTAGCTAATAGCAAAAATGAACAATCATGGCCTTTCTAGTCAAAGAAGGATGATTACTCATTATTGCCAGTCATTAGCCTGCACAATGTAACACTTGCAGAGCTTCTGAAAAATCCCAAAGTTCCACAAAAATATGTCATATCCCTGAAAGACGTAAAAAGTCCCCATATCTACGGCTAAATGCTTAGGGTTGGCATCACTAGTAGCCACACAGACTGGCTTAAGAATAGAGTTTACTCTAGCTCAGGTTTATGTTAGTCTCGGTTTCAGTTCAGCAGGAGTGTGATGTGAACTTTTATGATATGTGGTGTTTTATTTCGCAAGGACCATTTGATGGCCAAAGAGCACCAGGTCAGTGAACAAGTGATGTGAACAACTATTATGATAGGTGGCTGTAAAAAAGCCTTAAAGTCCCTCACACTAACGCAGGTAAAAACATAGAAGCATTCCAACCATGACATTGACGTGAAATAAGTGTAATAATAGTATATGGTGAAACGTGATAGCAAGGCAAGGACAGGGATGCAGCCACCGTGGCAGCGACCTCTCTTCAGAGATCGTGATATGGAGTGCCTGGGTATATGACGTTGAAAGTACCTATGTCTGTTAAAACACCAGCAATAATTTATGTGGGAAAAGGGGTTCTCTACCGATGAACATTGGTGGGTGCAAGGGTATCTGCTGTCAGTAGGGCAATAAACAGTGCTTTTGTCTGAGAGAATCTAAATCACTGCACTTGACGAGGATGTGGAGAACTGTGAGCGGTTCTTCACATCTCTCACACAATGGTTGGTGCATCACCACCAGACAAAAGGTATGAATGTGTAGAGTGTGTGTATCCTATCTGTAGTCTTGTAAGTGTGACGTGTGTAGCGTGATCTGGATACTGTTCACCAATTTCCAATTCTCGGTTTGATAACATGTAGTTTGTTTTCTTTTTGCCTATCCCATAAGCGTTGCCAGCACACCCTGAGCTCCCGTCGTAGAAAAGGTTTCAGATCAAGTGCAGCGACAGCTACAGATGTATTGCGGCAGCGTTGTCTTGAGCAGATGCGGCTAGCTGATCCGCCAACACGTTTCCAATGATTTCGCGGTGCCCTGGCACCCAGCCAACTACAACATGTTGTTTAAGAGGACAGATTGTGCATAACAGAGAGTACAAAGACACAAGGACAGGATTTTGATGTTTTCGCAGAGTTTTCAGAGCCGTTACTATGCTCAGCGAATCTGTGCATATTACAGTGCGTTGTAGTTGCAGTTTCTTAAGGGGGGACACGGCACTTAAAAGTCGAAAATCAGCAAAAAAATCGCATTTTCTCTCTCATCATTTTCGTGTTCCCGAGGCCCTTCTGCATCTATCAGCAAATTTTGGCTTCGAAATTCTATTTATTTCCAGAGTTATAGGAGATAAAAAGAGCAACTAGCGGACCTTTAAATTCAAGTCTAAACTATCCTTACTTCAACCGCCAACAGCACGCGAACTACATGCTCCACCAGCGCCATTTTGGTCTTGTTTGAAAGGTCGCGTTTTCAGCTTTTCTCGTTTTCAGTAAGAAACCATGTGCCCCCACGCGGAAGCAAAAAAAAGCAAAGCAAATCCACACGCTGCGCGCGACTCCGTTGGTTGCCTGACGCACGTGACCAAAATGGCATTTCTCGATTGGCCAGGAAAACTTGATGGCAGTGTCAGCCGCCATTTCGAAAAGGTACCGCTTTTGCGACGGTGTCTTATCGCTAACGTGTTCGTGCGGTCAGTGTGCTAGAATATTTTGGTGCGGTTCGCTATGCCCGGTGGTGCGAAAAATTTCTGGTCGAAGCATCATTTTGGCTGTTCACGAAAAAAAGGCAGGGGTAGAAAGCCCAATGGTGCTGCTATTGCATCGCGGGAGCAAGCTCCGACATCATATGATAACGTCGACGTGGCCGTAGATGATTCCTCGTGCGTGCGCGGCGTGGACGCTGGCCGCACGAGTACTGATGTTATCGTCAACAGAGGAGTGCGCGAGACGGGTTCCCAGGATAGCGTACGCTCTGTGGACTATGACTGCGCCGATGCTATCGGGAACGGAGAAGAGCGCGTAGACGTGCGCCTCCCTGACAGCGTGCGCGATGTCGACTCCGGCCGTGTGAGGGTAGATGCTGATGTGATCGGTGCCAGTGAAGTGCACGAGGCGCGCGTTCGGGAGACTGCCACGCTTGAGGATCTTTCGTCGGTGTCGGCGACAGCACGAAAGATTGAGCACTTTACAGATGCAAGCCGTGCGGCAACACATTCAGCAGTACATCTTTGAGAGCAAGAGAAAAAGACTGCCGATGGACTGCCAACAAAAAAAGAGAAGCATCTGAGAATGCGAGAGGCTGGCCAAGAGGAAGAATAAGGATGGGATGCATCCAGATTATGCCCCTGGTGCATTTTCTTAAGCTTTTATAGGTATTTTTCCAATAAAAATGTTTTGCAACATTTTCCTTGTTTTCTCAAAACAGCAATTTTGACACATTTGACACAATGGAGGATAAATAGCTTCAGTTCTATTTGAGCTATCAGCATAATTTTTGTTTTGCCAGAAAGATAAATACACGCAGTAAGCAATATGTCTATTTTCAGGGCAATATACATTTCAGAAAACTTTTTTTATAGGGTCACATGTATGGTATGTGACAATGGCTTTTTTTTCTGTAAACATTGATGACCTCTAACTCTTGTTAAAATTCACCTAGTAAATTGATTTATAGCATCTTGCTATCCTTGAACATCCTACATTGTTTCAATACTGTAACCACCATTTATGCGTTTTCCGATTAGACACTAATTTTGCTCTAAACAAAGGACCGAGCTTTTGCAATGATAGCACAGTGTATTGGGAACTACTAGCCCTATCACAAAAGTAATTACATTTTTGGAATCTGCACATCAAAATATACAAACTGTGAAAATTTGGTTCAGATCTATTCATAAATAAAAAAGTCGCTTTTCAAGTGCAGCTTCCCCCCTTAATATATGTTTGACGGCCACACATACCGCGTTAGCCTGTTCTGTGAAAATGCTTGTTTCGGAGTGCAGAATATTGGAGTTGGAGAAGGATGGGCCAACAGCTGCATAAGACACACCACTGTGAGACTTTGAAGCATCTGTGTGAAATTCTGGACAAGTGTACTTGAGTTGAGTTCGAGGAAGTGCGTGCAAATATGCGCAGTAGGTGCG